GCCGGGGACAGGGTGGAGTGAGATGAGGAAGGAAAGGCCATCAGTGGTGTCTGTTCTGTGAAACTAGAAATTGGCTTCCAGCTGTGACCAGCAAGTGAAACAATTTTCAAATAGGGTTTCCGCCTGGAATAAGGCAAAAGGGTTTTCTTTTGGCTTTTAAGTCTTTTAAACCAAAAGAAGTGAGTTGAAATCCAAATTTAAGGTATTAAGTAGCCAATATGTCTCTGTATTTTTCTCAGGTATTTTTTAGCAAGCAATGCTAATAACATCTATCGTTTGTTTTTAGGTCCCTCTGAATGATATGTTTGGTTATTCCACTGAACTTAGGTCTTGCACAGAGGTAAGCAAGTGTTTATCTTTACCACAGTGCTCTTCAAAAGATCATCCTACACAGTGATGAGATTTATGAGATTCTGGCTTTACATGATTCCATAGTTGTAAAAAAAAAGTCTCTCTGTTCTGTCTCTCTGCCTTTTAAATTCCTAGGGAAAAGGAGAATACACCATGGAATATTGCAGATACCAGCCATGTTTACCTTCCACACAGGAAGACCTCATTAATAAGCACTTGGAAGCAACAGGTCAACTTCCTGTAAAAAAAGGAAAAGCCAAGAACTGACTTTCCTTGTTGTGAGTTTAGTAACTTTAAGTGAATATGCAAGACTTAGATATGATGAATTCCAGCAGAGTGAAATCAGGTTGTTGAAACAAGTTTTAGAAGCACTTCCTATTTTACATTCAGGAGCTTCTATTACATATATTCTAAGATAATTCTATGTATGTCTCAACTCTGTTGGTTGGTTTTGTAGTTCATTGAAAAATCAAATAAAATATTCCTGAAATATACTTAATATTTATTTAAGGGAGAAAGGGATTAATTTCAATTATGCTCCTAAACTTAGAATAGGTGTATAAACCTCCTTTCCATATTTGCTTTTTCATGAGAATTTTCAACATATGGAAAAGTTGGAATTGGAACAGCCATGTACCTTCCATCTAGATTCAGCAATGGGCAATGGACACTTTTGTTAACAGTTTGTTTGTCAAACAATAATTTTATTGTCTGTGTCTCCTACATTGAATTTTTAAGTTATGTTGCTGAAGACTTGCAAGTGAATTTTGTACATTATAATGTTTGATAATGTCATTAATGGGCAAGCCATCCTGTTTAAGAGGGCATGTCATATGTCCCTGCTAGGGAACAGCTGATTCATATATGGCTGATTGCTTCAGTTTATGGATTCTGCACATTTGTAACTGCCTCTGTTTTAGGAGTACATATGTTACTTGCAGTCCTCTCTGAAGTAAAATAGACCTTCACATGTGCTGTTCTGGATTGTGTTCACCTAAATGTTTCTGTAGCCCTAAATAATAAAGTATGATTTACAGAATTGTTGCCCTGTCAGTTCACTCACCTAGTAAACGCTAGTTGAATTTTGAGTCTACCAGAATTTGTCACATATTCATTGAGATTGTGAGAGAACAAACATTTCAGCTTTGGTTTCCACAATAAGTTAGGTTTTCCCAGGCAGTTCACCATACTATCCCAAATTTCTTAATCCAAAAATTATCTTATACTATACACATCTCCTAGTCTTTTTCCTTACTGGATTATAGAAATGAAATAACTGATTTTAAGTGCTTTTGGTTTTTTTGATTTATAGATTGGACTGTATAATTTAAGATTTCTAGGTTGAAAAAAAAGGATTAAATATTGAGCACATGTTTTCAAGACATTTGCTGAGTAGTTTGTTAAATGAATTACCTAATTTAATTCTCTCAACCCCATGAGAGAGTTTTTTTTGCAATAGAGAAAGTGAAGGTAAATTTTTGCAAGCCCACACAGCTCATTAAGTGTTAAAATGTATACTTTGGTTGCTGTTGAGGAAGCACATTCCCCACGAACATGTGTTTCTTCAGTGGCATCAGGCCTGGAAAACATGGTTGCTGAGGCATTTGGTCAGCACCTTGAACCATTCTTGATGATTTTGAATACTGTTCTGCGTGAGCCAATACACAAGTTATAGCAGGGTACATCTGGCCATTAAGAATATCAGAAAGATGGGTAAATTTGGATACATCCTTAATTTGTTAAATATTCTGGTTATAAAGTTGCAGTGTCAAAAAGGACTCTAGGTATCTAATGTATCACCAACATATCATAGGCAGTGACACCGTCCCAGCTTAGGGGAATGTCTTGAACAGCACCCTGTGGAGACAGCTCCAGGACCAGAACCCACAGTCCCTGCTAACTCATTAGCTTAGTGGTAGTTAGTAAACACTACATGCCAACCAAAGTGAGAAGAATGGGAAAGATTAATGAGAGTATTCATAAATGAGAGCTGCTATATTACTCTTGTGAAGGTAACTGCTGCCTGACTTAAGGAAAGACAGCACTGCTGTGTCAGCTGGTAGGCACAGACGAGGAGGTACTGCTCGGGTGCCCAGGCCTGACTGCACCCTAAAATCACCGGGGAGCTTAAAGCTAAATACTCTGAAACTTTTCTAGATGATTCCAAAATGCATTCAATGATGAAGATAACTCTAGAATGGTCTGCACTTACACCCAAGACAGGAAATGAAAGATGTTTGCAATTCAGATGTGACATATTATTAATATTCTTTTGTGTGATATAAGAATTTAGACTATTGGTTCACCATTTGATAACTTTAAGACTTTTTTTTTTTCCTGTTACTCATTTCCTCACTGCTTATTCTTAGACTGTGTAGTTTGCAAAATCACTAAAATTGAATCAGTTCTGAAGTTTGGGATTTTTCATGTTTTAGAAATTGGAGTGAGTCTTAAATTTGGCAGTCCCAGAAAGGAGTAAGCTGAGACATTCTGGGATGTAGTCCATTTGCATTGCTGGCACTACAGATTGTTGAGTTGAAGCTTGAATTGCTGCTCACTTATTTCAGATAAATAGCACTATAATGCATCATTGAAATCAGTTAATTGTGTTCTCGGGAAACTTAGGTGAGCATTTACTCATTTATCCATTCAAATAAGTGCCAGAGAGCATGAGATGATTTTTGTACTCCGAAAGCTAAAAAGGTCACAGAACAGGTCAGAATTTTCTAATCTGGGAAAAATGAGCATGATAAACTAAGATGTAGATGTCTAAGTGCAAAATACAAAGCCTCCCTTGACTTTCAGAAGAACTTGTTAGCAAGTTGTCACTTGTAACGACTGATGCTTCCGGTGGGAAAACTGAAACCTAGTGGGATAAAGTAGAATACAGGGAAAGTCCTGGCTCCGTTTTGCATGTCTTTAAGTTTTTGAAAATTATGAAGAATTCAGACAAGTGAATGTGGTGTTGGATGGTATTATCATTGGCATCAGGGCTTCACACTCATAAGGAAAGACAGCTTAGGGTACTTAGGTTTTCATTTTATGCCAAACCAAATGCAGTAATTTTTCTCTGTAGTTAGCTAGTAAAATCAGTTAGAAAAATCAAGTCAGCAGTTTTAGAGTTTGTGCCAGAAAGAATAGTCTAATGATGATAGTGAGAAAATTTTTAGTTGGTTTAGCTTTCATAAGTTTTGTAAATGAGGTAATTGTGTTTGTATGTTGTTTGCCTGTGTGATTCCCCTTCATAATTGTTACACCAAAGCAGAGTCTGTTCGAGGGTTACCTTAGAATCCTTCCCTGGTTGAATTATGGTCACATTTGCGAGACTGATCTCACTAATGGAAATTCCCCTTTGCCAGTGAAGACCTGGAGAAAGCCGACACACCACTGATTTCCCCCTTTCTAGTCCCTAATGCTATACTAAAAGAAGTTGAAGATCACAGGACATGGAGTATGCTATAATGATGTTGTATTTTTACCGTGGGATGACCCAAGTGCACTTAATCACTGAGCCATATCCCCGGCTCTTTTTTTTTTTTTTTTTTTTAGCGACAGGGTCTCGCCCCACTAAGTTGCTGAGGCTGGCTTTGAACTCACAATCCTACTGCCTTGACCGCTGGGGTTACAGGCAGGCGCCACCACACCTGGCAAAATAATGCTCTTGAGAGCTACTTTTGAAGATGATTTAGGGAAAGAACTTTGGTTAGAGAAGTTTCTCTCTTGATTTTTGGCGTGATTAAACATTGTAGATTGTTTTTATATTTTCAAAGAAGTACTTCTTTGTTTTTATTGCATAGGTCGGGAGGGCCTGAGTTGCCTTTAAGTGACCGAGTACAGTGCTTCAGAGTACTTAGAACGCTTTAAAACAGTTGGATCTGGGGAAGGTAAATGCGAAGTTGGGGTTTTAAATAGAAAAACACATAAATTAGATCCGCTTATCTTTATGAGAGTCCTTATTTTTTTTGTCTTTTATATCAGTTTTTCCAGTTATCCAATAGTGCAGACTAATAGACCACTCTGACTGAGCGGGTTCGACTTGGGGTTTTTCAACTTCATAGTGGTGTGAAAGTGATATGCCCTGGAGAGAAGCCATACGTAGAATTCTGGTCTTCCCCCAAGCTGGCAGTGGGCATGTGCTCACCCCCTTGAAATGCTGGGTGGTACAGGAGCCGGCACTACAGGGTATAGTGTTGCTAAGCCAGGGTGTTTGGTAGGTTAGGTGTATTAAACACATTTTAAACCTGTGGTGTTTTCAATTTACAATGGAGTTTTCAATGTAAAAACCCCATTGTGAGTCAAGTTGTGTATGTATTTTATTATAATTTAAGGTTGATGCTTCCTAATCAATTATTGAGTGAGGAACCTGGCCTAAGGTTCTAGACACTGATAGAAGTGTTCCATTACATTATAATAATTCATAGAGGCAATGATGGTAATATTTCCTGGGTCAGTTCTTCCTGCCTCGGGCAGGTACTCCACTGAATTTGATTATGGTACATGTTGTTTGCTTTTATAAATTACTTAGGCCAACTCTGGATCCAGATTGTCCTTGTAAATGAAGATTGTTAATGTTTGGTATACTTTGAGTTAATGTGTATTTGCAGGCAGCCACTTGATCTAGTGAGATATGGTATTATTTAAAGTTTGAATCAAGCAATATTAAGGTTTTTATTTAATTTCAGCTTAGCATAAATGTTGCCTATGCATACAAATCTCTGCAAACACATTTAACACATTTTATTATTTAGAACTATGAACATTTATTTAAAAGTAGATGCCAAGTTAAAAAGGAATACTTGCTTGAAGTAACAAAACAGTGGAATTCCTTAAACAGTTATTATTTTCCCTACAGTTTTCTTTGACTGAAAATATACTTGTTGACATACAGGATAGGAGCAATTGTGCAACATAAAATAATTACAGTATATTAAGAAGAGTAAAGAAATGCAAATTCAGAGTTGAAACCATTGTTGTTGTTTTAATAATTATCAGCCTCTGCAGCAGGTACTTATTGCCTGGATTTCACGTTCCAGGGCTGAAACTCCAAGGAGCCCGCTAGTGGGTGCCCAGCATGAGCAGAGCTCAGCATGCCCCTGCAGCCCAGAGCTAGACCACACAGGCCAGCTGAGCAGCAGCTGATACATTTGAGTTTTTGCTGATAGTCACAGGCTCCAGAACTAAAGTAATTATTTAGGCTAGGAAAGTCATTTTGTCTAGAATTTGGTATAATCAGCTTTTTGTTTCTTAGAAATTACTAAATTCTGTTGGTGCCACAGCAGATCCTTCCTCAGTTCCAGAAGAAGCTTCGACTGGGGTTTGCATCTCTTCACACCGGTACTTCACTTTAAGTGGCTTGCCGGGGTACCAGATCAGGTGAATATGGCAGGGAACGATTTCCTAGGACACAGAGTTATAAAATATTAAACCGCACAGAACTTAAGGTAGAAATACTTCTCTGTACAAGCTTGTGTTTTACCTGTGTTGGGAATTCATGCAGCAGGACAGTGTAATCGAAGTCAATTGCGTGATCACTGGTTTTCTGGAGGAAAAAAACAGAGTGAGTATAACAGAATGGGGAGCTTGGACACACATATTCTTGGTTTGGAGGGATACCTTTACTCTCTGCAGCCTTAAGATTTGAGCCCTATTTCCTTCATTGTATTCTGTATCAAGGTGCATCAAGGTGTGGGTTCTCCCTTTGGTTTTATCACTGAGTAGCACAAAATGCTGGTCGGATGTCTTTATCACTTTTCTTTCTGATACTGTAATTTGGGATAAGGGCCGAGGTCTGTGGGGTAGGCTGGCTCTTGGCAGCACAGCTCCTGTGTGCACTACAAACTGCTGGGTCAGCCCTGCCACCCCAGGCAGCAGCACAGGGAAAGGCAGCCAGCATTTCTGGAGTGTCTGCCAGGGACCCTGTTCTGTGCCCGGTCCTGTGCTGGGCACTGCGCACACATTCTTGTGTGGTTCTCCATCCCTCCCAGATGACTCTCCCCAAACCACCTTCGTCATGTACCGGAACCCTTTGTAAACCAGAGTATTGGGGCCTCTCAGTGGACAAGCACTTATCCTCACCTCTTTTATTTATGTGATTTCTATGCATTTTACTAGTAAGCAAGCCAATTTTCTGTTTTCTTTTTGACATTTCCTTTTTTTTGATGTCAAGTGTACTTATTTCTTTACTAGTAACAATGGAAGACACGAAGAATTTCTTAAAACCTTCAATTTGGAATATAGTTTTAGTATCCTACCAGGTTTTTATTGAGACTATGAAAAAGCAAAAACAAAACAAAAAAAGTTAATTTTGCACTGGTGGAGTTTTCCAAGTCAGGAGTGTGAGTAGGTGTGGAGGGTGCTGCGGGGCAGAACCTGCCTGAGTGAATCACAGGTAGACTGCTTTTCATGTAGTGCTGCTTTGTGTTGCGTGGTGGCTCCTCCCCTGCCTGGCATCGTGCCCACTAGTGTTCACAGCAGGTGTCTGACACGGAGCAACAAGTCTGGGAACTCATCAGAGAAAGTTCCATGTCTTTCAGGAGAGAACAAGCTACAGGAAGTTCCAGATAGAGTCGGCCCTTCACATCCAGGTGTTCTGTATCCAGGCATGCAGCCAACCAAGGGTCAAAATGGTTTTTGAAGTTGTGTCTGCACCAAACACATGTGGGCTTTTTTTGGTCATTATTCTCTAAACATTACAGTATAACACTATTCACATGTCACTGTATTACCTACCAAAAGAAATCTAGACATGACTAAAGTATACGAGGCTATATATGTAGGTTATATGCAAATGCCAAGCCATTTTATATAAATAACTTAACATCATGGTATTTGGTATGTGGTGAGGGCCTGGAAACTGTTCCCCACAGACACCAGCAGATGACTGTCAGGCTGGTGGTATTTCTTTGGGGGTATATTTAGCCTTGTTTGACCTTCATTTGGAGACTGTCTTGACCTTGGAAGGAAGTGGCTCTCTCCTGGGATGTTTCACACCAGCTGCTGTCCATGTAATATATTGGGCTTTTGTGCTGTCTGCACAAGGCCTGTTCACTGTGTTTTTTTATAATTTAAAAATTGGTTTTGCTTAGAAACTTAGAGTGTTTGTTCAGGACAGTATCTGTTTTGCTTTTGAAAGTAGCATTTCTGAAGGAAAATGTGGCAGTCTCCAGATCCTAGGCAAAAAAGAGACAGGTCTTAGAACAAATGCTAGCCCTGCACTCCGTCTGACTCACCATCCTGCTATTGACTCAGTGGCACTCAGTTTATGATGAAGTCTAAAAGGTGATGATTCTTGGAAGCCCTGTGCGTTTGATTGAGAATTCCTTGACGCAGTTGTTGGGACACCTTTTACACTGTAGGAGGAAGCACCCTTGACCCAGTCTACAGAGCAGAGCCCCTGGAGAACTACAGGGAGGACATTGCACTTCCCAGTCCAGCAGAGCACAGAGCACCCAGGATGGGACCACCCCTGCTCGGTCAAGCTCTGCCAAGAAGTCATTATTTTTAATATTATTCAGAACAATCTCTTTGGCTTCTGTCCAAATCCTTGTAGTCCAAATTGATGGTGATTTAGTGTGGTATTTTTTAATCACTCAGCACTCTGATCTTCCTGGAAACAGCCTGGATGTGGTGTTTGTCCCCTCCACCTCCCATCTGATAGGGAGGAGGCTGAAGTTCAGATCAGCCATTGCAAGTAGCTTTCTCAGCAGACCAGGTTAGTGGATGGGATGTTGCTGTAACATGCCTGTGGCTTCTGGAGAGTCACACTGGTGGCAGCCACATGCTGCTGGTTATATGGTTGGATGCTTACACAATCTGGCGCCAGTGGAGCAGCTTAGAAGGCATGAGGTCAAGGCTGAGTGCGTGGGAAGTCCCTCTGTCTCCCAGCCAGTGCGTCTCCCTTGTCCTTGACACAGTCCTTGTGGTATAGGGACAACATGGATTCTTCAATTCTAAAGATATAATTTTTAGTGAGGTGGGTCTCATTTTATAGCTGTCTTTTGAATTCTTCCTTTCTTTTCTCACTGAGGCCTTGTTCACCTGGGTTGTGCATTTATAACTTGTCATGCCCTTGCACAGTTGTATTGAAAGGTGAGTTTAACCCCCAGTGTAAAGATGATGACCCCATGGGGAGAGTTCTTGTGCTGTTTTGAGTACCTCTAGTCACTTCTGGCCTCTACATTTTGGCTTTACCTGCCCTGTTTCTGTCCCCTAGAACCTTTCTTAGAGCTTTTAAAAATATTGCTTGTTTTGCTTCTTACTTATGTTGCTGCTTTTGCTGAAAGATATGGGAATTCTTGGTGGCCACTGAACAGCAGAATTTGAAAATCTGTGGATGTGTGTGGACAGTACTTCTCATTAAGAGAACTCCTAAAAGAAGATGAAATGCCCATCTAACTGGACACCAACTTCACACTGCCCGGTGAGGTTAGGTTGATGTTAAGGGCTTCAATCACTTTGTTAGTCCTCATTGTAGAACCTGAGAGATGAAATGATTTGCCTTGGGTGACCAGGTCAGTTGCTTACTCAAATATTTATCTAAAATTCAAACCTCACAGGGTTTAAAAAAAAATCTAAAATTTCTAGTAACCATTCTCCCTCATTTTTTTCTTTTTAATAGTGTAGTTTTCATGTATGTCTCCACTGTCGCACTTGCAGTGAGTCAGACTTACATCTAACACTGTATCCTGAGTAGTCACATAGCATCAACTAGATGGTGATTTCTATTAAAAATCACTCTGTAAGGAGAAGAAAAAGTAAGTAAAGAAGGGCCGTTAAAAGTGGCCTTTTAGCTGGTTGTGGTGGCACATACCTGTAGCAGCTGGGGAGGCTGAGGCAAGAGAATTGTGAGTTCAAAACCAGCCTCAGCAACAACGGAGAGGCACTAAGCAACTCAGTGAGAACCTGTTTCTAATAAAATACAAAACAGGGCTGGGGATGTGGCTCAGTGGTTGAAAATAAAAGTGGCCTTCAGAAGGCACACCAAACTTCCAGATGCTGAAATGCTGACTCATGCTGGCCAAATCTTAGTACTCAGAGAACTCATTGATGACTTATCCAGGGATAAATCCATGAAAAAATGAATTTTAATTTTGGTATATGATGTGAGTTAAAAGTCAAAGTTCATTTTTTAGCAATTATTGAGAACTATTTTAACTTTTTTATAATGCTGGGGATAGAGTCCAGGGTCTTTTGCACAAGCTATGTAGGACTCTATTTCTGAACTATATCCCCAGGCCCCTAAAAAAAAAAAAAAGAATTTTAAGAATTGGTACTTCCGATTAGTTCCACCTGCCTCTCAGGGAAGTTGATTTTGTTTTCTGTGGATACACGCCTTCTGCCGTATCTTGCCTGGCGAAGATCCCAGCATCGTTAAATTCAGTGCTGGGCTCCCTTTGCACCCATGCCCACCCAGAAGAAACTGGTCCTCTGAATCCAAGCCTTGCAGGACCTGAGGGGCTCATAGTGCCCCGACACTCTCAGTACCTCCTCTGGGCCTGCTCTCAGCTGACGACTGCCCCTCAGTGAGGAGACGGAACCAGCTGGCACTGAAGGGCAGCTGGCTCCCACATGGCAGCTACCTCCTGCCAGCACCCCACTGCCATCCTCTGGTCTCTAGGCAAACTCTACTCCTGTCTGAGATCGGAGGTTACAAGGCTCCAGGATTTAGTCCTTCAGCAGCTGATTTGTCTCCCCTACTGCCCATGATCTCATCCAACCCTGTGGCTTCATATACCCCTATGTGGTCGTGACTCCAGCCCATTCCTCCCCGATCAGACCTGTAGGTCTAGGTGACTGCCCAGGCTCTCTACCTGTCTACAGGATTTAGCATACCACAATTCAAGATCATTTCCCCCAAATCTTCCCCAATCAGAAAATGTAAACCCTATCCTTCCAGAATTAGGCCCAAGTTCTAAGCTCATCCTGAAGCTGATCATTTTCTGACTCTCGGGTCCAGCCCAGGAGCAGATCCCAGCAGTCTTCCACACCATCTCCACTGCACGCTGGCCTCGCCTCCATCAGTGCAGTAGGCACTGGTCTTTGCTTCTCTCTGGCCTCCCTACAGCCCCTCAATGTAGTGGCCAGAATGGTCCTTTATGAATGGGGTTGTGTCACTCTTCTGCTAATAGGAGAAAGAGCAAAGTTCCAGACTCTTCTAATGACCTCCAAGGCCTTGCAAGAACAGCTGCCCTCCCCATGCTCTTGTCCCCTGCACAGTCTCCTTCTCACTCCATCCCTACCAACCTCACCGCTGCCTCTCCATCCCAGCAGCCACACCTCTGCCTGAAACCCCTGGGCTCCCTCGGGCCTCTGCTCAGCTCAGCCTCACTTCAGGCTGAAGTAAGTCTCCTATTAAGACCCAGAACCTCTGTCTGCCTTCTCTATGTAGCACTTATACATGTGAAGCATACTTATGAGTTCACTGTCTTCTCTCCCTGAATTCTTCTCAGTGAGGGCAACAGCATTGTTCCTACTCACTGTCACATCTTCAGTCCCTTAAATAATACCTGGCCTGCTGCAGGCATTCATGTACTGTTGAGTGAATGAGATGCAGATGATTCACACAACTTCGGTCCAAGGACACCGAATTGTTGGGTCTCGGGTGCCAGGGAGCCTCAGAGTCCTTACCCACTGCTTCACCCTGCTGAGCTGTAACGGGTAGTAGTATGAAAACTGGGTGGTCCTTTCCCACATCACGTAAGAGCTGCCAAGAACAGCCAAGTCCCAGATGGGTCTCACTGAGGGATCGATATTTCCGTAATCATCTAAGAGGGGGGAAAAAGCATATTAAGGCATTTTTTTTAGATAAAATTCAGAATTTCAGTCATGATTAAGGTTCAGATTTGGTCATATCAGGTCATCTCTCACAGCAAGACCTTGGGGCAGACCTGCGATTGCTGGCATCTGTGTTGACTTGGAGACTTGGGCCTCACCTAGCCACGGACATCCACTGGGAAACAACTCGGTGGCTGTAATGATGCTGAAAGTTGACCTAAAGCTGTTAGGGGAGCAGCATTATTCATTGGATCAAAAAAGGCTGGTGATCTCCTTATGACCTGGTGGTTGGGTCTTTCCAAACTCATTGCTTCCTCGTCTGCTGAATGGCTTTCTCTCACCATTGGCTTTAAATCTAATCAGTGATTGGCAGCATCTCTGCCACTTCTTTTGAACACTTGAAGAAATCAGATGGGTTTTTCCTGTGGCATTGGTTTTGCACCCAAAAATCTATAATTTGGAAGACATTTTTTAAACCTACTTGATATGAGACTGCTATGATTATTGATTTGGTTTGCACATGAGGTGTACCCCAAAAGCTCACATGTGAGACAATGCCAGAGGTTCATAGGAGAAGTGATTGGGTTGTGAGAGTCAACCCAATCAGAGATTTGATCCCCTGATGGGATTAACTGAGTGGTGGCTAAAGTGGTGGGTGTTCCTGACAGAGGTGGGAACTGGGGTGTGGCTTTGGGGTATATATATTTGTATCTGGCAGGTGGAATCTGTTTTCCTGATCACTGTGATGTGAGCTACTTTCCTGTGCCACCCTTTCCCACCATGACATTCAGCCTCACCTCGAACCCTGAGGAGTGGAGCTGGCCTTCTATGAACTAAGACCTCTGAAACTGTGAGCCCCCAAATAAACTCTTCTTCCTCTACAATTGTGCTGGATGGGTCTTTAAGTCAGAGCAGCAAAAAAGCTGACTAAAACAATTATTACCTTTCATGACTTTTAGAAACTCAAATCTCAGTAACTTAGAAGATAACTTTCATGAATCATCATTGTATGTGGAGACAGTCTATTAAGATAGTCATAGCACAATATGTGAGGGATGCCTATAAGCTGATTTGGAAACTCATTCTTCTTGGCTGAATAATTTTTGTGTAAATTCCATTTATTGACAGTCCTTGGCTTGGCTGGCTTAAAATGATAGGCAACTCCAGGATTACTCCTTTTATCTTTGTGTGAGACAAGATGGGTCTCTGCCTCCACTCAGGTGGCACAGAGATGCAGTCATGTATTCCTTAAGACAGGCAGGAGCAGTGCTCTGAGGGAAGTTTCTCTGGACTGGAGAGGTTTGGGGGAGGCTTTACAGAAATGAGATTTCACCAGGCTGTGGATTCCTGTCACCTATGTAGGTGGGAAGAGCACAAGCTAGTGAGTACCCCAAGCTAGGAGGGCATGGGCAGGGTCAAGAATATAAAACGCGCTGACCGCACATGCAGTACCAGGGGTGTGCACTGAGTTGTAGGCATGGGATGATAACTTGGTTCTGTCACAGGACAGATAGGGGTGACTGAAATCTACAGACTGGACAGGAGGCTCCTGCTGTGGTCCTGGAGGAAGCCCTGTGGGCATGAAGGATGCTGATGGTGGGTCCAGGGTACTTCCTGGAGGTAGGCTTTATCAGAAATGGTGGCCAGGTATTAAATGTTAAAAGGTGACCAAAGAGTCCAGTCGCCAAACTCCAGGAAAGGAGTAATATTCAAATAAATGACCAGAAGTGCAAACCTTCTGGGTGGAAACAAGCTGAGTGTTAGGCTTATTAAATACAGTGTGAGATGAGCTGTGGGAGTAGATGACATAAAATGCCACAGCCAGATCAAGGAGAAGGACGCCCACTGGTTTGGTGATCTGGTGGTCTCCAGCGACCCAAGAGAGAGCAGCTTCTGTTATGTACATAGCTCAGAAACTGGCCAGGAAGAGGCAGTGTGTGTGGAAGGAGGTGAAGCCCTTGGTCAGTCTTGGCATTGCAAGATAAGGAGATAAGGAGGCTTCAGAGATAAGGAGGATATTGATGGGCATAGTCACGGAAGCAGCAGAAAAATTGGAATCAAGAATTTATCAATTAAAGGAGGGAACTGGGAGAGACCACGATGGGGTGTCTGGATGTGCAGGCATCTCAGGCTAGCCAGCAGAAGCGAACTCCAGATGCCAGGAGCTGTGATGTGACCTGATGAAGGCTGTTGCAGAAAGGAAGTTCTAGACGGTGCTTCCTGGCTGCACACACCTTCATGAAGGGACTTCTGTTCGCCCCATGTTGAGTGGCTGACCAACTGGGATTTCAGGACAGCACTGTTGGTGATGCTGTTCCCTTGCTTTATTAAGGTCCCTTCCCCCTCATCTTCGTTGACTGATACCTCCCCCTCACAGCTCACCCTCTCAGGTTCATCTTACAATGCTATGAATTTAGATTGGGGACATCACATCCATTCCCCTTGGAGATAGAGAAGTCTCACTGGACACTGGGGCCAGCGAGGATGTGGAGAAGGTAACTGCTCCCCACACAGAGGGGCTTTGGCTCTGTAGGTTCTTCCTGTGTGCTTGGGATCACCTATGGGGAGTCTACCCATTCGTTAGAGAAAGTGACAATTTCACTTATAATAAAAATAAGATAACTGCCTTTTAAAGGGAAAAACAATGTGGAGCAAAGTTAGATCCTCATAGCTAAAAATTATGCACAGTAGCCCAGTATCATGGACTGATTAATACTGAACAGAATCTGTTAGGGTCTGAACTAGACATTCCAGGGATATCACCATACTCTATTCACTTTATCTAACCTTTGTGGTTTTAAAGTAGATAATTGTAGGTCCATGGACAGGCTATACATAGCACATAAGCGTCTTGAGTGCAGAGCTTGCAAGTACTGTTGATGAGCAGGCGCCTTCTTAGGATTTTCCTGAAGGTTCGTAGTAGCACATTGTTAGAAAGTTATGGAAGCTCTTATGTGTGTACAGGACTCACTAACTGAACAAGAGCCAGTAGCATGTGCTATTGAAAAGTAACCCAAATGTAGTGATCCTGTGCAAATATTCAAAGAAAAAGGCCTGTATAATTTTTGAATTTGTGTCTTAAGGAAACCAGATAAGCCCCGTTTCCCAAACTGAAGGGGAAAATATCCCTTAACAACTAAGTGCTAAATGTTAGTCATTAGCTCAGTTATTTCAGGGACACCAAGTAGAAACACATTCTTGGGTTTGGAATTGCTCCTCATAATTTTTTGACACAGCATTCAATCCACATTGTCAGGAAACTGTTGTGTGAGAATCATCCATGGCTCTGAATCTCAGAACACAAGCAGTGTTCCTCATCTAGCTCTCAAGAGCATCTGGTCAGTACCAGCCAGCCAATGCGGACAGACACCTTGGGCCTGGAGCCTGCAGTCCTCTGGAGCCAGCCTGGGGTGTCTGGGCAAATGAGCAAATCAAGGGGGAGGGTGTGTGTGGTAGGGAGTAGGGGTCAGATGGCAAGCTTGATGCCCAAGTGTGAGTCGAGAGACGACTTTCGTGGTTTTAGAAATTGGATTTGCCAGTAAGTGCCAAGTCTCAGCTGCTGCCCACACACTGAGTACTTGGACAAATGAGCTCTGCTACGCTTCAGCTGAGTCACTGTGGAGAGCGGGGCTCAGCCATTAGAGACGGCACCACTGCCATTAGCCACTGCCCTGAAATTAAATAATCAGGGCTTCATCCAGCACCCCAGAGACAGCCACTTGCCTGCCTGCTGCACAGGGCAGAGAGGAGACAGGAGGGTGGCTTCTCACCTAGTTTCCAAGGCTGCCACCAAAGATCTCTGGAAGGGCCCCTCAAGTTCTGAACTGTACCCTGAAAACCACCCCAGGTCACATTCTGTGGAAAAGATTCCTTTACCCCCTACCTGGGGCTCAGTTCTTCCTGGGCCCTGCTTCACAGGAGCTGGCGGGCGGAGGCCTCCCAGCTTCTGGAGTAGTTACTCTGTTGTACTGAGATGAAGAACAGAAAAAGATACCTCGGAATTCTAATTGAGGAGGCGTGTCATGATCTGGAGCTCAGTTGAAGAGTCACTTTAGGGATACATTTAAATGAGCGCTCTCTAAGATTCAGTGACTACACAGTCAGGAACACTGGACAGTAAAGACTGGTTCGTACCAGGTATGCCGCCCACGGTCAAGGCATCCTTCATTTGCTTCAGCTGCTCGTACAGCAGGTGATCCTCTTGTAGTGTTCTGTTTCTCTCACTGAGCCCTGTGCAGGTCATGGTGATGGCTGGTCTGGGTTTCTGATTCTGGAAAAACACTTGAGCAAAACATTTCCCCAAGCGTGGCTTACCGTCCTGAAGTAGAGATGGTGACATTAAGCAGGATGGTCACTTACCGCCCCACCCTCACAAGACTGACAACCCCTCGTGACACCAGGAGTGCCCTGGCTTTACAGAAAGTGAACTTTCACACTTTGCATTCATCTAAACTTGACATCTTTATAATAATTTTGGCCTAGTGCTGTCTGTGGAGCACTGCTTGACCCAGCTGTACGGTAGCAAATACCTTGCCCTCTTCTGTGGACCAGCGTAATGCTTAGCTGGATGTTGAGACTGTTCCTCTGAACAAAAAACGTCATGCTGTCTTATGAATTAGCTCCTTTCATTCTAGTTTTAAAGACTAAGATGCTAAATTTTAAAGAGAAGTCTTCTGTCTCCCAGCTAGTAAGTGGTAAGCCAGGATTTGAGCGCACTTCTAATTTAGTTCAACTTACTGAGGTTGAACTAACCCCTCTGTGCTGCTCTAGATCTAGTCGAGAGGTGGAGGCACTGGTCCTCTGCCTGGGCTGACCAATTGCCTGGACTGCGCTGATCCACATTCATGTGTAAGTGGCGATTACTGGGTGTCCTGGGAGCACTCTCAATTATCCAGCTCAGAGACATCACAGTTTCAGTTAAACATTAGGTATGATTCATTTCTAGGGCAGTCAGTCATTCTTCACCCTTTCAGGTCACAGATTCCTTAACCTGATAATAAAAGCCAGGGACCCTGTTCCCAGAAAATGCACTTGATCATACCGTCAGCACCAGGCCTAGAGTTTGAGGCACTCTGTGGGCCTCATACCAGCCATGGGCCCCTAGTCAGAATCTCTCCTTAAAAAGTGGATGCAATGACTTCTTCAATTCTAAAGTTTAAACAGGGAAGAATCCCAGTTAAAACCACTACCAAAACAAAGCCCACAGGAAGATCAGAGGTGGATCTACTAAGAAAGCCTATTTCCAGAACCAACTCAAAACATCATGGTGGGCTTTCCAGTGGGCTGCTTTCCCCTGTGAGTACCAGCTTTGAGAGAGCATCTTGGGTGCATTAAGATGCTAATTACAGGTGCAGACAGAGAAGATAGTGCAGGGCTTTCAGGAGGAGGGTGTGATAGGTGCCACAGGGCTCTCTGAGGCTCCTCTGTTGTCCTTTCAGAAAGGAGAAAAAGAATAGGCATTGCTTTTCCTCCTTTGCTTTGTTCACTCCCCCTCCCCCCCACACAAACCTTCAGGGAACAAAGCACCTGGTGAAGATGGAAGACCTCTTCCCTTGATGCACAACAGGGTGCAGTGGTGGCATGCTATTGCTCCTTGAAATCTAGTAACTGGTTTCCCTTCAGCTTTAACCATTTTGCAATAGAGAGCTCACATGCTTCCTCCTAATCCTTGTACAGTTTGAGTCCTGCAGTCAATAAAGTCAGGGCATACTTGGTTCTGGTGAGCCTTTATCCAGAAGCCTGGAGTATAGAATCATGCCTTTACTCTGAAGCTCTGCCTCCCTGCGATACTTTGATGCCAGGCACTGCCTGTCCTTCCCAGGCTGCCTGGCTCAGAGCACCACTGGAGAAGTCAGGGCTGGTCTCCCCCATGTCCCTTGCTGCCTCCCAGCCTGCCCAGCACATGAAGTTCATCTGGCTCTAATCTCCACTTAAATTTTCTGTTTACTCTCTTCCTGAAAACAGGGCAGAGGAAACTTGGCAAATGTTAGCTGCTTGGTGGGAACTGCAGCAGGCTAGTGTCTGTCGCACACAGGGACCACCGTGTTTCATAGGATGCCTCTGCGTAAATCCTGGAATCGGCCTCAGGCTGTGCCGGCCTGGCAACCAGAAATGTCACCAGCAGACACTACAAAAAAGGACAAGTTGATGTTTAGAGTGAGTCATCCCCAGGGCTCTGAGGTGTGGGAGGGGGTCCCAGGGAAGGGGGAGTGAGCAGTGTGATCTGATGTGCGTGCATAGGGCCATGAAGTTGAAGTAGTTGGATCCTTCCCTCCTGCTTGGCGCTGTTCTTCATCATTTGTCGTCTTTATAATAAGGCAGGAGGAAAGTGGCACAGAGCTCCCAGGCTGTACACGGGAGTCTCCAGCAGGGCCCTTCACTGATCTGGCCGCTTACCTGCAGGTGGTAGGACTCTGTGCTAAACACCAGGTTGATGTGATAGCCCCTCTGTGGATCCACCTGAAATACAGAAATCATCTTAGCATTGTGGGGGCTCCGCTGAGCCGCATGACCAAGAACTGCACTCTCAGGGTGGCATGGCGTGCAGATGGTGACAATTATACCTGAAGAAAACATTTTTATTGCTGAATTTTTTTACAAACTCTTTTTGCTACCCAGTTTGCTAGTTTGACACACAGTGAGAGGCAGAAAAGGGACGCAGTATGTTCTTCTGGAAGCTGACTTTGTAAGAGCAACTAGACAGGCACTGACGGGTACAGGGAGCTGTGCTGAATTCCTCCACACCCTGATAGTTAGAGCTCCCTGGCCGGGCTGCTGGGGCCACAGAAAGACTAGGACTCTCCCTCGAGCCAGTCTCAGTCACATGGACACAGTAAACGTGTAAGGACATGTTTTCAGGAGGTGACAGGTGAAGAGATGGGTAGTCTAGAAGCCACTTAGGAGGTGCCTTCAAGCACCTCCTAAAGAAAGGCAAGGGCACCTGTGGGCAAGGAAGGTCCATGGCTGGGGGCGAGATGGCCTGGACAACACTGGGAATGGCCTCATGTGACTATGTCTCTGCTGTAGTTTGGATCTCGCATGTCTCCCAAAGATCCATATATTGAAGGGTTGGTCCCCAGAGAGGTGCCATTGGGAGGTTAGGGCCTAGTGGGAGGTCTTCTGGTTATGGGGTGCTCTCTTCCTCTCTGATCCCTGGCCATTTTCATTCCTACTATGTGCTGCCCCAGCACAGGCTATAAAGCAACAGGGCCAGCGGATCGTAGACTAGAATCTTCCAAACCATGAGCCCAAATAAACCTTCCTTCTCCATAAGGTGATCATCTCGGGCATTTGTCATAGCCACAGAAAGCTGCGAGCCAGTGTTCTTACAGGCAGGTACGTGTCTGAGCTTTTGAAATGCATCTTTAGCCTTTTTAAACTTCTGAATATTGAGTCCAATGCCAACTTTTTGGTAGTATCCATCCCCATATTGTTGGGGCAGTTTCAGCTACTTAAAACCTATATTATCTGCCATTATTTTTTATTTAAGAGAGCAAAGTGGTCATTCAGCTAAGTGTTTTTTTTTTTTTTTTCCTATAGAAGGAAACTCTGTGCTCCATGGAGCTGCAGTTATTTCATGCAGTCTTGATTAAATTAGATTCTGTAAACATCATTTTTTTTTTTTTAAATCTGACCCAGGAACACAATAACCAAACAGGGTTGTCTTATAAATAGAACAGGTATCATGACTTCTACCTAAAGATTGTTTTAAAACACTGGGAAACGGTAGAGAAGGGAGGGATAAGGTTTGTTGGCAGCTATTCACATAGAAAATATTCAAACGTGTATGTATACCACTGCAGTTGCTGGGAGGGAGGACAGGACCCAAGAGCTGGGCACTAGAGCAGGGTGCCTGGGCTCATTCCCATCTTCACTCATGTTGGTATGAGGTGAAGCACTGACCTTGGTTCACAAAACACACGTTCTAGTCTCTTCACTCGCCCCAATCCCCCCGCTGTGCCAGGCACTGAGGAGATGCAGAGAAACCAAGCCTCCTGTCAGCCTTCCCTAGTAGGCCTGCAGCTAGAGTGGACACAGGCAGGTGGATAGCAGCAGGCCAGGCTGGCAGTGTGGCTGATGAGTGGGGCAAGGCCCTGCCTGGTGCAGTGGGTGCGCTCAGGAAGCGTCTGGCTGGCCATGGTCAAGCAGGGGAGGGAGGGAGGACTGGGCTGGCACCTGGACAAGGAGGCTGGAGAATGCCAGGCACGGGTACGGAGGGCAAGGTGGCACTTGAGATGGTGAGGCTGGAAAGGGCCTTTGAGGCTTTTATTTTTAATTTATTTTTTAGTTATAGGTGGAAATATGTGGTAGCTGAGGATCGAAGCCAGTGCCTCATGCATGCTAGGCGAGCGCTCTACCTCTGGGCCACAACCCCAGCCCTTGGAGCCTCACTTTTTAATGAGGACTTGGAACTGGATCCCAAGCCCATGGGAGCTGCATTGAATAGCCACAGTAAACAGGGTGTTGTGACCAGTGGGATGAGGCATAAACGTCGGCCAAGGTAGGTCAATGTGTGGTCTCTATTTTTATTAAAATCTGTGGTCCTGAGACACTAGGAGAACCGTGCTGGACCCCTGAGTGGTCCAAGCTTGGGGACAAGAGGAGCAGTGAGAGACTCCCCCGGGGTTGCTTTACTTTGCCTGCCCCTGCAACACCCCATGAGCAGGGCAGGCCTGCAGGGCAGCTGCTGGACCAAGCCGCAGGGCCTCTGCAGGGAAGATGCCTCAGCGCCCACCAAAGGGGAAGAACCCAGAACAGTGGGTTTGAGCCTGATGCCCAGCCACACTGGTCCTACACGCACCGGTGCTCACAGCTGGCAGTTCTCAGGCTCGTCCTCAGCTCCTGGGCCCCAGAGGCTTGCTGCACACCCAGGCTTTCCCAGCCCTGCCTTGTCTCTGCATGGGAGGGGCTCTACATTCCTGTTCCAGCTGGGAGTGAGACCATGCTGCTGGAGACATTGGACAGTTTCTCTCTGGTGTGGGGTCGCTTATGCATGAGAATGTGCGGGAGGATGCAGTGTATGTAAAAGCAGCAGAACTAGGAGGGTGGCACGGGGCTGGGGTGGCACGTGGTTCCCTAGGGAAGGTGCTTGGGATGGGAGGAGTTGGCCCAGACTTCACACAAGGGTGCTCACCAGTGTCTCCTCATTCTCAAGATAGTTGTTCATATTGGAAAGAGAACTGAAGATGTCATGTAGCTTGGCAGTTCTTTTGAAACCCATGGAGGCAAAGTGGGGTCTCTGGGACCAATTTGTAGGGAAAGAAGCAATTGGGTTAACCTGGGCGGAGGCAGTATGGAGTCTGTCTGTTTTAAATTGTAGATGGACACAATACCTTTTGTTATTTTTTTTAATGTGGTGCTGAGGATCGAACTCTGTTCTTTTGAAAAGCTATTTTCTTGGCTGATTTCCTTGTTTTAGTTCAACACTCTAAAAAGTGTCCACATTTCATCCAAAATAGGATTTTTGTATTTTTTGGTTCTACTTTATTCAGATGCAGTTCTTTTGTCTCCCCCAAAGGCCTCCCCTCCCTTCCTCAGAGTTACAAGTTCCCTGGGGCCTGCAAGGACTCAGCGCCAGTCAGGGCCACCTTTGTCTGCACATGGTGTCTCATGCTCCTTGGCTTTAAGGCTGGGTGTCTCTTTGCCCTTATTCAAAATACTCCGTGCACCCCAGGGTTTACCAGTATACACCCTACTCCAAGCACTGTGCCCCCTACTCCAAGCACTGTGCCCCCTACTCCAAGCACTGTGCCAGGTGCAGGAAGTACAGCGGGCAGAGCAGTAGCACCTGTCCTGTGATCTAGGGAAGGCCATGAGTGGCCACTGCAGAGCTGACTGTGGCTGGCCATGGGCCATGAAGGGATAACCAGAGAATTGATTAGGGCAGGGACCAGGGAGGTGCCAATGGAGTTGAACTCTAAGGAGTTGATTTTGGGGCTGGGGCAGCTGGTAAACCATTCCACACTGAAGGAACAGGGCTGATGTCCCTGAGGAGCCGCAGTGGGGCCAGTGGCCAGAAGGTGGGGAGAGGCTGACCAGGTGGGATGGATTGTGTCCTGAAGGAAAAGGAAGGCCGTGGCCTAGAAAGAAGGACTTTGAATAGATTATCTTGCTGGAGCATGGAGGAGTGATGCTGGAGTGAAGAGGTGTCCAGAGGGGGTGTGGATAGATTAGAAGGCTAGGTGGGGGGCAGGTGAGGGGCAGGACCGTGAGCCAAGGTGGGATGGTAGAAATGGACAGAGTGCGTGGCAGACAGATGGGACCCATTAGCAGGTAAACAGTGAGGGCTGGGGTATGGCTTGGTGGTGGAGCACTTGCCTAGCACATGCAGGGCCCCGAGCCCCATTCCCAGCACCTTGCACGCACATACAAAAGGAGGAGGTCAAAAGTGAAGTTATATGCAGTTGTGCACCGTGTAGCAACATTCTGGCCAGCGAGCATCACACATGCAGGGATGGTGCTGCAGAGTGATCGTGGAGCTGAAAAATCCCTCCGACTGGGACATGATACCCAGGTGTTTGTGGTGACGTGGTGTGACAGACCCACTCTGTGGCAGCGCATGGTGGGGATGCCCAACCTGCTGGTTTAGTGCCTGCTGTTCTTCATCATCTCAAAATGTGCTGCTCCCACTCATGAAAGTCAGCCGTGTCACAGCCACAGCCTCCACGACTCCTGCTTATGCATCTCTCGATCACATCAAGAAGACACACGGAGCCATCACCTTACACCATCTAAGTCTGCGCCAGGATACTGTGATGTTCACACAGTGACAAAGTGGCCCAGTGCTCAGAACATATCCCCAATCAAGATCAGAAATAACAAAGTGCTATGTCAGTGATTAAGACGTCATTAATATCCGGGGCAGAGCAATAGCAAGCACCCTCCCGGGCCAATGCCAAGGCCTGTCCCAAACTCCACATGAGGGGTGCTTGCCTTCAATGCTCAGAAATGCTGCTGAAACAGAGATGATAGGGACACAGATCAGAGCAGCAGTGTAGTGTCGCTGTGCAACTACTGGACTGGCAGAGAGGCCGGGCCTCAGGGCTCCCGGCCCTCACCCGCTGCTGGGGCTGTCTGCACACCTGGCCAGGTAGAGCCTACGTGGGCACACCTGCAATACAGAACTCCCACTCTAGGCCACATCCAGAGAATTAGGATGCCAGCATGCCAGGGTGTATGGTTTGGATGTGAGGTATCCCCCAAAAGCTCATGTGTGAGATGATGTAAGGCATACATTTTGTATCTGGAGAGTGGAGTCTCTCTCTGCTTCCTGATCATCATGTGAGCCGCTTCCCTCTGCCACATTCTTCTGCCATGATCTACTTCACCTCAAGCCCCAAGGAATGGAGCTGGCCTTCTATGGACTGAGACCTCTGAAACCGTGAGCCCCTAAATAAACCTTTCTTTCTTTAAAGTTGTTCTAGTCAGGTCTTTTAGTCACAGCAGCAGAAAAGCTGACT